CGCCCCTGTTGCCCCCCCCCCGCCCGCGGGGGGGGGGGGGGGGGGGAGGAGGTTCTGATCCCTGGAAAGCAGCGCTTGCAAACCCCTTTACCCCCAGCTCCAGGCGAACTTAAAATAAAATTGTAAGAAGAAATTAAGCCCCCAAACTGATGGGAAAAGGAGGGCTTGTGAAAAGATGCTCGGCTTGTTGGGGTGGGCTGGGGGGGGTCGTCTGGCCTCTCTGCCCTGCAGCCCCCCTCACTTCTTAGCGCCCGCGTGGGCAGGGATTTAACAGCACGAGATTTATCATTAAAATACGAACGAGGAGGGGAAAAAAAACCAGAACTCGGGAAAAAAAAAAGAAACTGAAGTGTTGAAATGAGACTGGAGAAAACTACGCTCTTGGAAGGGGATGGCGGGACCTGGCTTTGCACACCCGCTTAAGTAATTATATATATATTTTTTTATAGATGTATATATTGTTCATACGCGCACACGTATATTTGCTCAGAGGAACACGCGTCTTTGGAGACCTTCGATGGAGGGCTGTTTCTGGCTGCAGAATTCACACAAGCTTTCCCGGCCCCACGGGTCCAGCAAAGCCCTTTTTATGTCCGAGCAGCTCTAGCAAGATTTAAATTTTTTTTTTTATTGTCTTTAATTATTGTTGCCTTTTTTTTTCCCCTTCTTGGATCGAGGGATCCGCACGGTTTTAGGTCTTATTTCCTCGAATATTTCTGCCGGATTGATTTTACCCGTTAGCCGAATTCACGGAGGCAGCGAGCAGATTTGAACGCCCCAGAACTCTCCGTGAGGTTAAAACCAGGTAGCTAAATACTCCATAAAGTAGTTTCACCCACCCGCGGACTCCAGGCCGCGGGGATCTGTAATCAGTTCCCACGCAGTGCTGAGAAATAACCCGATTTTAGGGTTTATGCTTCCATTTTTTGAGGGGGTCTTTCCTTGGGGTCCATCCCATCCTCCCAGGGAAGCAAATAACCCCCCGGCAGCACAACGGATTTGGGGATGGGTGACATCGCCACGACCTTGGTGGGAGGGGTGGGGGGGCACCACGCGTGGGAGAGGGTCTTGAGCACCTGTGGGACCCCCGGCAGCCCTCCGCGGGTACCGTGCCCCCCCCTCCCACCCCCCGGGACTTACGTGGCCGAAGGGGTCGAGGTGGTTGTTGGTCAGTTTGAGCTTCTGGAAGGAAACCAGTTGCCTCATCCAGTGGGCTCCAGTGGCCGGGGAGGCGGGGCG